TAACTCTTGCAATCTTACGTGGCCTGTTCGGGGTCTTTTCGGCCTCTGTCCGGCCAAATAATATTGCTCTCTTGATCAGCTCGGGGAAACGGTCATTTTGGTATGCATCTTGAGATGTAGATCGGGGTTTTAGGCCGCGATCTTGACATGGGAAAAACATGAGAAACATGTGATATTTGATTCAAGCTTACGTCTGTTTCCTACTATTTTTCTTTGATTTCTTTGGTGCATATTAACGAGCATGTCGTCATGAACATTTGGCAACGAACATGGCTCGATTTGGTGCCCAAATGACTATTTTCCAAATTAGGTATCTTGGCTGGAATTTGCTTTCTAGTGACCGAAAAGTGCAGCAACTTTATCCCTATTGTGCGAAAAATCCAATCATCTATCACGTACGAGGTTTGGCTCGGGTGAAGCCCTTGACGTTGTGGTCATAATGGGTCTGATTTCAAGCCGATCCGACATGCGTACGTCGTGATGTGTCCGCTTGATCAAGGAGCGCGCTTGCTGAAAATTTTGAAATTTAACTTCCAATCGTGATCTTCTTTCAAAATTTATGTCTGCTCAGTCCACACCATGGAGCGTGCCATATATCAAATCGATCGGGTTGACGAGACAAACATGCCTCCAAAATTAAATTTGGGCTCATTTCGACTCAAGACGAAGAAGTTACGAGTGCCCAAAGTTGAGCCCGTAATCAATAAACTCAATTTCCATTAATAGAAATTGGTTCACTGTGGGTGCACCAGAATAGCGTTACCTACCCGTTTTAGGTAAATTTACAATAACTTAGTTCAAAAAAGTATGATCAAGCTGAAACATGGACCCTGGGGGTTTTCAAATGTTCCAGATCCAATGGCTGTGGTCTCATGATAGTTTGACATACTGGTGATAGGGTTGTAGTTATAAGGTTCATTTTCAACACGCGAGAGACTAAATTTTGAAAAATGTTTTTTGCATTAGCACTGCCTTAAACTCATTGGATCGTGACGCAACTTGACAGGTGTTCTTAAGAGACCCTTAGCCACATTTTTTGAGTATTATTCTTGGTCCATTTTGAGACTGTCATAAATTTCACTTTGAATCAGGGCTTATTCACCTACGGCTTCCGTAGTCCACAAGTATTTTGGTACCTGCGAACCTAGGTCGCAAATTGTTCTCTTCTTATTTGAACCAAGAATACAAGTGTTGAAAAATACCCTCAAACAACAGGAAAGGTATCAGGCTCGAGGCCTCAATAACCAGAGGGATTCACAAGAAACTATACTGGAAGGATAAATCCGACCCGGATGAATCTCGAAAGATCCTCCTAGAGATCGATAAAAAGAGAGAGAGAAGAGGGAGAATGATAATGACGAGAGATAAGATGAGACGAAAGATGAGAGAAGAGAAGAAAAGAGCGAGAGAGGCAGAGAGAGAGAGAGAGAAAGAGAGAGAGAGAGAGAGAGGAGGAGGTAGAAGAAAGAAAAGAAAGAAGAAGAACGAAGAAGAAAGAGAGAGAGAGAGAGAGAGAGAGAGAGAGAGAGAGAGAGAGAGAGAGAGAGAGAAGAGAGAGAGAGAGAGAGAGAGAGAGGAGGTTGAGAAGAAAAAGAAAAGAAGAAGAACAAGAGAAGAAAAAGAGCAGAGAGGAAGAGCAAGAGAGTAGAGAGATACAAAGAGAAGAGAAGAGAAGAGAGAAAGAAGAAAGAGAAGAGAAGAAGAAGAGAAGAGAGAGCGAAGAAGAAGAAGAGAAGAAAATGATGAAAAGAGAAGAAGAAGAGAATAAGCAGAGAGAGAAGGAGAGAAGTAGACTGGATACCTAGGTGGATGAGGTGGTTCTTGAACCCTCCGGCTAGGTGCGCTCCCCGGGTGACTTGAAGGTGCTTTAGAGAGGACATGGACCTTTGGATGAGAGGCTAGGGTGTAAGGTTGAGTTAGGCTAGGTGTAGTGGCTAAGGGGTATAATGTAGTGGGCTAAGGGGTATGGTGTAGACTTGGTGTGATGGGCTAAGGAGTATGATAGTTTGGTTACGAATGGTGTATGGACTAGGTTGAGTAGGGTAGTAGAGACTAAGGACTAAGGTAGGGTGGTGTGGACTAAGGACTAGGGTAGGGTGGTATGGACTATGGACTAGGGTAGGGTAGTATAGACTAGGGTCTAGGGTAAGGTAGTATAGACTAGGGACTATGGTAGGTGGTATGAACTATGGTCCAAGGTTTGGGTAGGGTGGTCCAAGGTTTGGGTAGGGTAGTCCAAGGGCAATCTCTCATGGGTAAATGTTTCTCTTTCCTCTCTCTTAGGGTGAGAATGAAGGCAAAATGCGAGAAAGAAGCTAATATGAAGCACTTACTTAAAAAATTACATTCGGTTACAAATGAGAGATAATGGACTTATATAGTACTTGCCCCAAACATGGGTGGATGAAGAAATCTAAATAAAATTACTCAAAATTACATATTTTTTAAATTAAAATTGATTCTCTCTTTTGGAGCAAATTGGTCATTTTTCCCCCTCATAACTTTCTTCGAAATAACCAAATCATCTCAAAAAGGGGCTTCTTGCCTTGCCTGTCATTTGGGGCTTTTTCTGGCACCATCCAGGAATCTTTCGGACAATCAATTATCGAAAAAACAATTGTCATACTGATAAGATCATTTTGATGTCCATTGTTAAGGTTGTGTCGGAGTTTTGAGATTGTTCTCAAAATCCTGCCAAACCCATAAACTTATGATTTTGAATCTTCAATCTAGCTCATACCTTATTGTTTCCATCCATTTTCTTTATCGCATATCAAAGGGAAGGTTATCATGATCATTCTGTAATAAAAATCTCTTGATTTTTATGCCAAATGATCACTTTCTAAATTGGGGAGGTAGTCAGAAAATGAGATTTCGGCCCCTGACAAATATGCCTTATTGGACTTGAATAGGGTGCCTTCCGATCCTTGATCATGTGTAAAGTTTACCTCAACTCGAAGATCTTCGTACCACAATTGCAACGGACCTATTCTCGAAGTCATTCGATGCCGGATCTTTGAGATATGACCATTCGAATGGGTGAGTTTTCTTCTTTAAAAATCTTGCAAAGCGTGAGTTTTGAGATGCCATTTCTCTCTACGCATTCTCTCAATCCAATTATCGACTCAAGTCATATCTTATATCAAAATGTGTAGCTCGATGAGATCTACCATGTGTCTGAATTTAGACTCAATTGGGCTCCAGATGAGTGAGTTATGAGCTTTAGAAATCAATCATAAAATTGGAAGAGCAGTTGTAAATAGTATAAAACCCATCCTATTTGGGTAAGTTGGCCATGAGATGGTCCATAAGCGTTCAAACGAGCTGAAAATTAGTATCTGGAGGTTTTTGGGCCTTCTGGATTCAATGGCTGTGGTCTGGTACTCATCGAAGACACTAGCAGTACAGCTCCAAGGTACTTTTCAGTATGATAAAAGGTGGTTCTAATGTAAATTTCGTCCTGATCAGCTTTACCTTGATCGGATTGAGACAAAACTTTGAGAGCACTTAAAACATTGAACACCATCTTTTCAAGGCTTTTGAGGTCCATCTGCCACCATTTCAAATCCTTTCAAAATTTGGCTTATTTTGATCAAGGTTTCCATAGTCTACAGACATTTTAATTCCTGGGGTTCTAGGTCACCACCAGCTTCTTTATTATTCGCATTGGGGAACAAACCTGTCAAAAATGCCCTACAATACTGCCCTCTCACATCCACTCTCACTGGCAGTGTGGCCGTCAGTGCTCACACCAAAGGTGGCCTGAAGGCCACCCAACGCACGCATCACCGTAGAGGTTGGAACCATAGTAGTCGGACCCTCTCGCACCCCCTAGGTCGACCCCAAGGTCGTCTGTATCACTCATATGCATGTTGTACACACACATGTGCCCACCACCTCCTCGAGTTCCAAGGGACGACATCGGAACCACAACCCTCCTTGCTCCCAAAATATGCCCATCCATCTAGCCCATGCCCCTACCTTAAGGCTGGAGGCACCTATCACCTGGTATGCTCTGGTGCACCCACTTGTCTCCCCTTTAATGGAGGCCGTAAGCTCAAGGAAGCTAAGAATAGGGTTTGGGACACCATTGGAGGTCATCGAAAAGGCTCGGGAGGGCCATCATGCTGCCAAAATTTCGTCAGCCCCCAACCACCCAAGACGATAAAAGGTGAGCATGTGCCAACCACTGTATTAAACGGACTTGAGAGTTAGTTTTCCCCATATCTGCGGCAAAGCGATCAAATCCCTTATTACGCATCCCACCTTACCCACCAACTCCATACATAATGAAGGGTTGGATGCATTGCACGCCTTCACTCGGTGAGGAGGGGTAGTTCTACCGGATAATTAAGAGGGGAACAAAGGTCAAGCTCGCACATGGGGTCGGGTGACCAAAAAATTGAAGGCCCAATTCAAGGGTGAAGAAAAGAAGAGCATGATAGGTGATATCGCTCCTCAAACCAAAGACATGAGTTCCTTAGAAGAGTGAAACCCTTCCTCCCTCTTACCTCTGTCAATGCCAATAATGCTGAAGAGGCTTGTCACATAGTGCAAGTCAAAGAAATTGCTTAGGGAATTGTAAGGCCGGTGATCTACAAGATTCAAAGAATGATCGAGGGCAAAACCAAGCCCACCAAGGAACCAGTCTGACATCAATGACCCCATCAAGCAGAACATGCCAAGCAAGTGGTTGTTCAATTTGTTGAGCCCAAACCCACTCAACTTGAACCTGTGACGGTCCAGGCCCCCAAAGAAGATCCACCCGAGAGTTTTCTTTTTTTATTTCAATATGAACATGTTAATTATTGTTAACTAAATGGTTATGAGCTTCCCTTCTTAGATTTATTTTCCTTCACATTCTTTTTCTTTGTGTATATATAAGCTTGGATGGATTTTCCTTTTTTTTATTTTTATTTTTTTTCCTTTCTTTTTTTTTTGTGGGTGGAGTAACAAATTTCAAAGCTTTTACATCGTAAAATCCCTGTATTTTCCTTTTTGGTAAGTTTGACACCATACCGCAAGGCCTTACATTACTCTGTCAAGTTCTAGTAGACCGAAAGCTTTAGGTTTATTCATGCGACAATCTTCTATTACAAATTCATTGCTATGAAATCCTACTGCTTATAAACAAAGGAATTGGGATTAGAACCAGGTCACGCTTCCTTGACGCTGTTATCCCACAGCTCTCACTCATATCCATCTCCTCTGGTTTCATTCCTTTGGGTAGTTTCCAATCAAAGTAGTAAAGAAGTTGGGCAAAAACAAGTTCTGCAGTAGCCATACTGAATAAGGCACCGGGGCACCCCCTTCTACCTCCCCCAAAGGGGATGAAATCGAAATATTGCCCCTTATAATCCACCAAACCATCAGAAAACCTCTCGGGCTCGAACTTCTCTGGATTTTTTAAGTAGTCTCGATGTCTTCCAATGGCCCAAGCATTTAGTTTTGGTTGGTATTACATAACCTTCTAATGAGCATGTCTTCATGGATTCTCTTGGGATCAATAACGGGAGAGGAGCATTTAAAATGAGTGTCTCCTTAAGTACTAACTTCAAGTACTCTAAGACCTGCCCCTCTCCCACTCTTTCTTTTCCTTTAAGCGCATGCCTTACTTCCTTCTGGACTTTTTCCATCACCTGTGGGTTATTCATAAGTTCTGCCATTGCCCATCCCAAGGTTGAAGATGAGGTCTCAATCCCAGCAATAAACATGTCCTGATAAAGCAAAATTTGACATACTTAGCATATCTTGGAGCTAATCTATGGGACATAAGTCATATTAAAATTTAGTGTGTTGTAAAGCATCTTAATCATAAAGACTAATTGAAATAAAAGGGCCAAATGTCCTTGGTTGGATTACAACAAAGCTTTCATACCATTCATTTTCATTATCTAACAGAATTGACCATGAAAATTTTGCTAGAAAGTTCAAATCTGAATTAAAACGTGACAAAATTTGATGGAAATTCCGATTCTAAAGTAAAGAAAGGGGGTACCAAATTTATACAGAACATATATTTGTCGTTTTGACATTTGATCGTGTTGTCGGCAGTTCTCCATCAAATTTGGGGTATCGGAGTATCTTCATGTCAACCCTATGTAGCTCAAATTTCATATTAGAGGAGAAGTTATAGTAATGCTTACCAAGATGATTGCCTTGATATTGTCTCTGGTTAGTTGCACGGCACCATCACCTTCCTTTTGAAGCCGCAGGAGGACATTCACCAAGTCCCCTTGCTCATCCTCATGCCCTTTGCCATTCATTTCATGCTCCTCTATTACCTTATCGAAGAAGCTGTCGAGTTTCTTGTGAACCTTCTTCATTCTTGCCCTAGTACCTGATAGAATGCTGATAAATCCCAATGGGGGATACAAGGCTTCTATAGCAAATGCACTGCTTACCTCAATCACCTTCTGATGATCTCTCTAAACTCGTCACCGACATATTTCCTGCCCAAGGCCAGTCTCTCTACTACACAACTGACAACTGAGAAAATTCTGTGTGTGAGATTCACAGGAGTATGAGAAACCTCCATGATTGACCCCACGAAATGGGTGGTCTCCTCCTCTCTAACAAAGCTAAATGATTGTACGCGTTTTGCACTAAGCAACTCCATGATGCAAATCTTGCGAACCGCCCTCCAATATGGGCCATATGGGCACATGGTGATGTTTTTTCAATTATAGGCAATACTCTTGGCACTCGACATTGCCGGCTGACTAGCAAAGACAAGGTTGTACGTCTTCAATACCTTTTCAAGTGAACGGATGTGTTTTTGGTGAAAAAAAGTATGGTATAAGACCATGGGATACGATCATTTATCTTTGGTACAAAGAGGTCATGATTCTTGATGACCAATAAATTTAAAATCAGATGGTTGGGGATGTGCCATTGAATAAACTCAAAGGTTAAAAGAAAATTTCTTGATGAAACAAATATGAAGCTTTAGAATCTTACATCTAATGGTTTAGAGGATTGTTAGCTCCTTGTACCGAAGGAAAATAGTTCTATATTCCTTTATTATTAAAATTGGGGTTTAACTTTACGTTACCTGACTGCGTGAAGGATCATGAAAGTGGCATAAAATACTCTCATAATTTATTTTGTTATCCCATTGATGCTCTATCTACTGCTTATATGGCAACTACCACAATGACACAGAGGATGCAATGCAAAATGGAAGGGTCATGTTAAAATGAGCGTGTTTGGCATAGCTCATATATACTCGCTCGGAGCTACTTGGTGAAGGTTTTTTCTATGTGAAATTTTCGGGGTTCACTTAAGATCATACGATGATCATTTTTAAAGAAATAAATATAAATTTTAAGTTATAAGCAATTTATGTGACTGGTATCCGTTCAATCGTAAAGTACTTTTTAGGCTCATACAGTGCTTTCGATTTTTCTTATGTTTTTTTCAAGGTTTTCTTGCCAGGTTAATGCTCCCACTAAAGCATAATATCTTTTTCCATGTTTTCCACTCTTCTCTTAAACTCTCACTTGCAAAAAAATATAAAAAAGGATTTCAAATAAAATAAAATCGTCAAAATACACCTAAAAGTTTTAGAGATATTTTTGTTAGTTTTTTAATAAATATTTTTTAATGTTTTACTTTTGGTGTGCCCTATTGGTACTTTGCAAAATTCATATTCATATGATTTTAAAAAAAAAACAATCAAAGATGAAATACTTTGACATGGCAGATATAGATTATATGGTCCGTGGTTCACTTATGACATTTTGAGACAAGTCACCTTAGTCGTTCATTTAAATTGGGTGAACGGAAGTATATAACATGCATAAGGCAAGGAAGTATAGAATGTTTTCCCATATATTTAATCTCCACAGCTTCTCCTCTTCAACGATTCCAAGGGCTTGTTTGGTTTGTATGAAAACTTGCATCATGAAACAATTTTCATGTGAAACATACAGTTACACACGTTTGGTTCGTGCGTAAAGCAGATGAAAACTTGTCCCACAGGAAAAGATTTTACTACCAAAAGAAGCAAATGGTGCAAAAAGTAAACCTCACCACAAAAGGTGGGAGTAAGTTCCCAAAGATCCATTACTCATACGGATTTGAAAAAATACGAAAATGAATAGTGATTTCGCTTATCCTCATCACCGTTCAAAGTTCATTGCATAGTCATGATTATCCAGTAGTATTTTATTTTTTATTTTTTTTTCTACAAATCGGAATGACTTGAAATTTGGAGAGTTTGTTTATAAAAAATAGGAGAATCTTTGAAAAATATTAAAAAAATATTTTGCATGAATAAATTGACGAAAATACCCCTGAAAAATTTTAGGGGTATTTTGGTCTTTTTTCATTACAGGAAATTATTTTGTTATATTTTTTATTAGATGCACATCACTAAGATATACACACAGTCCAATTTTCAAATCATTTCGATTTGTAAAAAAAATGAAAAATAAAACACTACCGGAATACCGAGACCATGCGATGAACTTTGGACGGTGATGAGGGTAGGCCAAATCACTGTTCATTTTACCTATAAGCATTGGGAATAATTTTCCTATGAAGATACTACAAAATTCTTATAGATGAAAATGAACAGTGATTTCACTTACCCTCATCACCATCTAAACTTCATTGTACGGTCACGGTTGTCCGATAATGTTTCAATTTTTATTTGTTTTTTCTAATCGAAATGATCTGAAATTTGGAACATGGGTACAACTTAGTGGTGCGCACCTAATAAAAATATGAAAAAAATAATTTGTAAAATATAAAATGATTAAAATATATTTTTTTTCATATTTTTATTAGGTGCGCCTCACTAAGATATACACACGCTTCAAATTTCTAGTAATTTAGATTTATATCGAAAAAAAAGTGAAAAATGAAACACTACCGGATAACTGTGATCGTGAGATGAAATTTGCATGGTGATGAGGGTAGGCGAAATCACTGTTCATTTTCGCCTATAAGCGTTGGGAAGAGTTTTCTAATATATATATATATATATATATTGGACGGTCACAGTTACGGTTGTTCGACCGTATTTTAATTTTAATGTTTCTTCTACAAATCAGAATGATTTGAAATTTAGAGCGTGTGTATATCTTAGTGAGGCGCACCTAATAAAAATATCAAAAAAAATAATTCATAAAACAAAATTGATCAAAATACCCCTGAAACCTTTCTGTGGTATTTTCTCAATTTATTTCATGTAAAATATTTTTTTGATATTTTTCATAAATTCACATATGTTTTATGAATATATACTTCAAATTTCAGATCATTCCGATTCGTAGAAAATAAATAAAAAATAAAATACTACTAGACATCTGTGATCGTTAGATCAGCCCAAATTCGATCTAGGCCGTTTGGCGTTTACTGTAGCGATACATAAATCGGCGTACCGTAGCCTCCTCCCTATATATATATATTTGATATTTTTTCGTAAATTCGCCTATGTTTTATGAATATAAGCTCCAAATTTCAAATCATTCCGATTTGTAGAAAACAAATGAAAAATAAAATACTACCGGACATCTGTGATTGTCAGATCGGCCCAGATTCGATTTGGGTCGTTCGACGTTTACTATAGCGGTACATGAATCGGTGAACCATAGCAGCGTACTATAGCATTTATATATATATATATATATATATATAGAAAATGCTGAGATTTGCCCACTAGTTCATATGAGCATATGAGCGCAACGGCCCAGATTCTCAGATTGAATATAGGCCGATCTGACGATCACGGCCTCATTTTGTGTTTGAATTTTAATTTTTTTTTATAAATCCAAAATAACTTGAAAATTTAGGTCCACATTCTTCTCATCAATGAACATTTAATAAAACTAATTCGTAAAAATTAAATTAACCAAAATACCCTTAAAACATTGTAGAGATATTTTATTCAATTTATTTCTTACAAATTATTGTTTTGATATTTTTTTGTGAGCTATTGAACTCATATAAACGCATATATTCGTATGAGTTAACGAGCCAATCCCAACATTTACTTTTATATATATACATATATACAAACACACGCGCTGCGAGAAAGCAGAGTGTTTTGGCCTCCCCCATATCCATCGTCCGTTTATGTTAAAGGCAAACTGAGGGCCTCATCCACTTTAAAAGCCCAACGCGCGAAAACGAAAAGCTTCAAACCGACGGGAGTACCAGAGCTACCCTCTCCTCCCGCGTGCTCTGTGAATCAGAGATTTCCTCTGCGAAGCTCCTTCTCTCTCCCTCATCTTCGGCTCTCCTGGCGGCTACATGCTTCCTCTCTCAATAATTTGGTTTGTGTCATTTGTGTGAAGGTTTGGTTTGTTGTTGGAGAGATTGGGAGCCATGTTGAGGAGCCAAGTAAACCCTAATGCACGAAGATTTGCATATAATTCTTCGTTGCCAGTTGCTACTTCTCTGCACCAAAAATGTCGGTCATCTCCATTGCTATCAGTTAGTCTCATACTCGTGGTACTCTCTCTCTCTCTCTCTCTCTCTCTCTCTCTCTCTCTCTCTCTTCTTACTTACTTACTTACTTACTTTACTTT